CAGGATTACAATAGCATAAGTGGTGGGTAGCGGGTATCTTGGGGTGCATGTTGAGATAGTTGAGTATGGAATCCAGGAATACACCAGCATAGGTGGTGGGTACCGGGTATCTTAGGGTGCATGTTGAGATAGTTGAGTATGGAATCCAGGAATACACCAGCATAGGTGGTGGGTATCGGGTATCTTAGGGTACATGTTGAGATAGTTGAGTATGGAATCCAGGAATACACCAGCATAGGTGRTGGGTACCGGGTATCTGGGGGTGCATGTTACGTCATAGCTGCCATGTTGGTTGACTATAACAAAGCATTCCTCATTACCTTCTCTAGTTATATCAACCAACATGGTCGCTAGCTGTTTCAATGTTATTTATATYTCAATTTCCAACCCCACTCACTGATCGAGTCAATGCTATGGAATTATAAATTTGCATTATAACGCGTCACATACACCAATACGTATTATAATCCCTTTCTTTCGTTAAGTTATTAACATATCTAGCTTTTCCATAATAAGTTAATTATATTTTAACCAATCGCAAAGCATTCTGGTAGTGGTAGGCAGTTAAATGACGCCATTATGCAAACGGTATATTTAAAAAAGCACTCATCGTAAATCTTTCCTGTCTATAATAACTCTGAAATCCTTTMAATTACTGTATTATGAGATAAGCAATGTGGAACAAAACTCACAAACCTCTCTGGGAAACCAAATACTTCGAAAATGCAACTGGAAAATTAATCTGTTATTGTCGCCTGTTGAGTAACTTACATTTCCATCAAAAAAATATCAAAAGAAAAATTGTCAGATCAATTTTAAGAGGAGCCAAAAAAGCATAAGTTCTCTGTTTCCCATAATGCTTTGTGCTAGAGATCCGTTTTCTTTCTTAAGGGCTATTCATAGCTTGCTATCAATCGTGTCTCAAATCGGCTATTTTCGATAGCTATCTTTTAGAGATAATTAATTATCCATTAGTCTGTGATTACTTTGGCGCATAATATGACCATTCTGTTGTTGTGTTGATGTTACCGATCAATGATAACATATCTTTATAGTGATCTCTAGTTTTAATTACGGCAGTACTTAGTTGACCGATATGCATAATGTGGTTTGGATTTACAAGTATAGAATTTTCATTCTCTTTCTCTCTCTCCAAACAAAAACCACAAGTAACGTAAACAAGCATTTGATTTGTTTGAAAATCGTTTTTAACTAGGGAGAAGTAAAATATATAGAGGCTCTAGAGTGGAAGGTGGTACCAAAACTGTTTAATATAGTGACGCAATTCCGTTGCCCCTAATGTATTATAACATGGCTGCCGGTAATTTATTGAGGCAGTCTGTCGTTGATGTGAGACACAAAACTAGTACGGCATTTCGTGACTAAGTCTTTATGTAAATATTAGAGTGTGTGACGAAATGTTCATGTAACCAGATAGTAGTTTTGTAACCAGAGATATAGAGAGGGATATATTCTTACACACATGTACTGAGCATAGATCTCAAAGAAAGAAGCAGTAAATATAAGTTCCAGCAAAAACGTGTCAACTATTGGTTCGAACGGGATCAAAAGTACCGTGTGTAACATTGATCGCCAGTTGGTAGCTCTCTTGTCGCCGTTTCGAGGTCATGTTGCTTTGTCGAAATTAACCCCAAAAGGCTGGTCCTCACTAGCGTCGTAAGTGTCGGAGTAGGAAGCGGAAGCGGAATCGGAAGCGCAAGAAGCTTACGAATTGGTGTGAGTCAAACAACGCTTCTTTGTTGTTCCCATAGTTACCAGGTTTGCCGCCATGTTTTCTGCTCTGAATGGCCTGGGTATGAGCTCTGCCATTGGTCAAATCTTCGGATTCCGATTCCGATTCGGATTCTTTGGTCCACACTGATCCATGAGCGTCATAATCGGAATCGGAGTCGGAAGAAAAAGAAAACCTTCTGATCCTTCCGATTCCGCTACCGTCGCCCTTCTGTTTCCGATCCCGACTCCGATTATTGGCTCACATTAGATCGTAAGCTCCTCTTACCACTCCGATTCCGATTCCGATTCCGTCGCTAGTGTGAACCAGCCTTAACAGGGCCGACAGATATATAGTGCTCGTATCCAATCTGTGAACAGTGCTAACTTTATTTTACACTACACAATTTGGTAGGGTTCCTAGACTTACACAGAGTAATATTCTTTTAAGCACTTGTACATATACATTATTCAATATGAGTAATCACGGCTTCTCGTTCAATTTGGAACTCATTTGCAAGAGTGTGTTTTTCAAGGAGTGCGAATAGCACTCACCTACCTATCTCTAGCTCTTTTGAAATACCTTGAAAAACCCACTCGTGCAAATGAACTCCAAATTGGACTTGAAACCATTATGACTACAAATAGCCAGTGTTGGCACTATAATAATTACTAACGGCGATGCATGTATTTATTTTGCTTTAATCATCGATAACTCTTCACTTAGTAATTCACATTTGTAAGGTGTGGCAAAAGCCGGACTTTTTACAATAACTTACACATTTCTCGCGTGCTGATTGGTTATTTTTATCATCAATAAGAGGACAGACAGATAAAGCTGACGTCAACGAGCGCGCGCTCTTTCCGTCGGTTGTTTTGATCACTAAAAATAAGAAGTTTTTATCGTTTTTGTAATGATAAAAATCAAATAGACATMATTTTTTATGTGTCTGTCCTCTTATTGACGATAAATTTCGTCATCACATTGTCAAAGTAGTATGCGGATCCACTCGGCTACGTCTCGTGGATTCGTCACTATAACATGGGGGCGTTTCATGGAGTTTAAAAAATCTGACCCAAGACCCTCTGGGGTCAGAGGGGCTTAGAAGTGACAGCCGTTGCTGCATCATCTTTTTCCCAACCCCTCCCCCCCCAAAAGAAGTTGATAGAAAAGGAAGTAAGCCATTATACGTATTTGTAGAGACCCGTTTTTGTTTGAACTACGATCTATAGCATAATTTTTACATCCAAATCATTTGATAAATATTATTTTGAGATCTGTCTGAGCTGTCGCTTAAATTTTGTTAAAGAACTTTAAACAAACAATTTCCTGTATCCCAAATAGATTTCTTTTATGTCGCAGTACTTAGCTTCTTCTTAGTCACCATCAGAGATCAAACTTGCTAGAATTATGGAATCAGGAAATTTAATTAACGAAAAGCGGTTTTACTTTTATCATACATAGCACCCAGCTGATGTATTGTATTTAGAAAAGCTATTTTAATTTATTCGACAGGGCAGAAAAACGGTTTTTGGCCTTTCGCCATAAGGACAGCTTTACACATTGATTAAGCTCAATATTTTGTAAACACGTTCTTTTGGAGCCAAATAGCCAAATATCAAATGCGACCAAAATTTATTGAATGCGTATTTGAGATATAAAGCCGTGTACTTTGGGAGAGGTGATACTTTGATCAGCAGAAAAACTGACATTTTCGTGAATATTAACAAGTAGATTTTCTCTAATTCGACAAAATTTCATCACAAATTTCGAGCAGCAGTGACACAAATGAAACGCTTAARAATTTGGAGTATTAAACTCAGTTGAATAAAAAAATCGTGAAAGTAGCGGGCTTGTCGTTTTTCTGCCCTGTCATTTTATTCAGTTGTGATCCAGATTCAGTGGATACCATTATGCATGAGAAAATTAGCTGTTCAGTTGTTTTCTAGTATAATACTTACAACTGGTTTTAGTTCTTCATCATTATACTCTCAGCTAACTTCCTGCTCTCTACGGGATGAGTACCGTGTGCCGGTCATTGAAAGTAAAGTTAAACTTCTTTTTTTACGGCTTTTCTTGCTGCAACCAAGAATTCTCAATCCTTGGCGAAAATGCTTCAAGAAAATGAAATAGATACACGGGTTTATAGCCGAATTTGCATACCCGAGAAATTGAACCACAAAAATAACAGTTTGTTTACCTATAATGCTTGGTGGAAAGTTGCCCGTGATATAGAAAGCAACGAAGCAATGGTAAGGACCCCATAGGAAGATAAAACAACAAACGATAACAATTGATACGTAGAAGATGTTGTTATTTCTGTTTCTTCGCCTACGAGCTTGTTGGTCGTTCAACATCCCTTTAATATTCCTTGAGTTTAGCTTGATCTTGTATGCCATAAGAGAATACATTATAATAATTGCGATTAACGGGATAACGAATATGGTAGCGGTCACTATCGAATAAAAAATTGCTGTTGCTAGTTTATTGTCTGCTGGATGCCAAGACCAGTAACACTCCGTGAAACCTCGCTCATTGTGCAGACCAAAAGTATAGAAGTATGGTGAGAAGAGAAGAGTAGACGCGATCCATGTGATGGAGATTAGAGCACGACTCTTTTTGCGACTGAAAACTYGACTTCTCATTGGATAAGCGATGGATGTGTACCTGTTGACAGCAATAATGACTAGGCTTAACACGGACACGGCTGATGAAATATCGCTGAAAAAGTAACACAGCTTGCACAAGGCTTCACCAAGAGGACCGTCCACTAGCCATTCTGGTCCATTCGTCTCCTGAACAATCTTTAATGGCAGGATGAGTAGGGGAATGATCAGATCTGATACTGCCATGTTGACTATGAGGTGATTGAAGTTAGTCCTCAGAGTTCGGTTGCCAAAGACAACAGCAATGACCAGAACGTTACCGAGAAGAGAGCACAGAATGAGAATGGAATATAATATAACGTGTGTATAGTTCGTCATCATGTATGCACCAGTAAGGTTTGCTTCTACGGCTACTTCCCTGGGCGTGATGCTTGGCCAGCTTGACGTGTGATTGTTCATAGTTCTAAACAAAGATCACACAAACATGGTTAGTTCGTTTTACAYTACACTGGCAGCGTTAAAACTAAATACGGTGTGCCCCACAGATCGATTCTTGGACCTCTATTCTTTACTGAAAATTCATTCTACCGACTAACCATCATGATAAATCTAGTTTCATAAATACTATCGTTGATCTGCAAAGAACGCTTGGAAAAAAAGAGTTTTATCGGTCACTTCTTAGGTTGTCATACATCGTCCTATACTATTTCTTGCTTTTGTAAATTTTTTTAAAAGCTTATAGCCTTCGAGATCAGTTGTAGTATAATAATTAAACAATAGGCTACGTGTCACCATAAACACTTAATAGAACACTTTACCTCATCCCGTAATATGTTGCAGTTTCGTGGGGTAACCAGGAGGGAAACAAAGAATGTTATTATTGACAGAATTTGAAAATGATAATGGTAGTGATGATATAGCAGACGTTTACCAATTACCAATTACCAAAGTCATTGTTATTTGCAATTAAGCCCAGGACAACAAGCATATCGCCGGGAGCTTAGGTTATAATGAAAAAGCATATTATATTCATGGCGTTGCGAAAAACGTTTTTCAGTGATTATAATGCTGATGAGAAGTGAAAAGACGCTCAATGTTTGTTTATGGTAATGATGCAAATACCCAGCACAACACAACGATCAAGTTCGCTAGCGAAATCTCACAAAAAAGATGCTTTCCTCGATCCTGAAATATTCAAAGGCACTTATTTTTTTCAAACGAAACATACTTGACATACTTACGCATTTTAAATCCGCTAAAACAGGCCTCGCTTCTGGCTGAGTTTGAGCTTATGTACGACGAGAATAGAGAGTATGGACATTCACTGGATCATGAGAATACAACGAATAAATGGGAGCCTTAGAAAGCAATCATGATCCACATAGTTTGTTCAATAATCGCGGTCACTGAGCAATTTCTAAGTTTTTAATTTAATGATAGGTCTTTCGACAATGTTTAGCTCCCACGTAACGTTTATCTTCATTTGTTTTCCGTTTCATAATATTGGGTTTTCGTTTGTGGATAAATTAAAGAATACTAATGGATCTGGGAGTGAATATGAAAGCATCAAAGAGTTTCTGAGTGAGTGCGAGGATGTAAGAGGAAGTCGTTAATATGGGCAGCTTTGAAATGATAACTATTCTAAGTATAATAGGTGCACAACACTTCATTTCTTGACTGGAGTCAAACCAGTATTGAATTTAGATTTAAAAAATATATTTCAACTGCCACCCATCATATGAAATCAAATTTATGAATAAATGAATAAATAAATAAATAAATGAATGAATGAATAGATAAATAATAAATTTTAAAGAGCTGTGAATTTTTTAATGCAATTTTTTTTCTTTGTCTTACAAAGATTTCTTTTAGATTTTTTTTGATAGCGATAGAAATCGTAATTAGATTAAAATGCTACTCAACTTTAGACGTTTGCCAAACATTTTACTTTAATTGTTCAATCCTGTTGTCTAAGAGACCTCGCTGACCTAGCACAAAACCTAGCTCTTAGTAAGGCAAGTCATAATAACCTGATGTTAGTCTCCGAAAGAGGAATTTTAGCGTATAAAAAGTTTCACTTAAATTTGCTGCTTAAGTATTATTTTGTTTTTCGTTAACCCCCTTTTTTGGATCAATTGGTTATTTATTATTTTATTGATTTTGCCACCAAAAAACTAAGTAAACGAAGAAATTAACGAATAAATGCACACATTTAAGCCCAATAGGTATTACAATCAACGCAGCACAAGAAAGAAAGAAGAAAAAAGACGAGCATTGGGTCAATTGACTTAATAGAATTCGTATTTTTGAGTCTTCAACCATGTCATTTCAGAGCTTGAATAATTACTGTTATAGTCGTATTCCCGCTCACTAGGATAGAACTAACAAGGTGTATTTGTTTATTACACATTTAGGGACTATAAAATTTACAGTTTCCAGTATCCTGTGAAGTGATATCATATCACTGCACTGACATGGCTTTTATTCACAGCTTTATCACACTGATATCGACCATCAATCAAATTATTACACGTTAAGAGCCTGATAATTATTCACTCGTTTTCCATATATCACTCACCCACTCGCGAACTCGCTCGATATCAAACTCTTTTAAGAGTTAGAACATGTGATAACCTCTATGTATTTTATCATTCTAGTTAGGCAGAGAATGAAAAAAAAAAAAAAAAAGATAGGCACCTAAACATGTTTATCTGTTTGCGAAATTGCCATACAATTATCTTATAAAAGCAACAAGAAGCACTAGTACTGACTTTTTTTAGTTTTGCACAAATTTATGGAATAATAAACTTGAATAAACTATTTGCAGGAGAGTCAAACAACTTACCTGCTACTCAGTGAATATTGGTGTCCTATCGTCTCGCAGTTTTTTTCGTATCAACTGTTTTTGTTTAAGTGTGTGGCCTATTCTTAACTCTCAGCTCATCCAATCACAAGCGTGGAAGCAGATGACGCTCTAAGCACTGAATAAATAATAATAATTTGTTTGTCCAAGAGATTCTGTAAACAATTTATAAAAGAATATAGATCACTTCTACACCTCAAAAAACGTAAAATATAGATGACAAAAAATACAACAATGTGGGAATTAGACACCTTTTACAGCCTAGTATCCTAGCGCTATCCACAGAAATTTAAGCTTAAAATTTCATTCATTCCCTACCCGTGACATAAATAAATAAATTAATTAATATCTTTATTTAAGTGTGTAGTCGTTCTAGCGCTTTCGCACTAATTGGGGACACTTTTTGCCCACAAGCACTACCGCTTTATTCGATATTCTGTGCGCACAACGCTCAACTCACATGTTGATTTTTACAACAACAGAGAAATAGCGCAAATCAACGACTTTATAGATCTCCTAGCACTCGAAATCGTCTCAGTTGTAATGTTTTTGTTTACTGTAGGCCATACTTGAGCAGGAGCTGACATTTCTAAAGAGAGTGATCTGGCTCATGCACTGTAAATCGGAAAGAGCTGATTTAGCCCCAGAAAGTCAAATTAGCCCCAAAAATCAAAGGAGCTATTTTGACCCATTTGGGGTCGTTTCGACAAAAAGGGGCTAAAACAGCCCCATGACTAGCCAATCCAGCCCCAAGGAATTATAAAATGGCCCCACCACTTTTCATATTGGCCCCAGGTGTGGTCAATTTGATAGGAAAAGGGACTGTTTTGGCCGCAGAGGAAATCGCATAATAATACCTACAGATCAGCATTAAAGATCAATAAGTAACACCGACTGAAAATACATTTCAGCCCTTTTTGGTCTTATTCTGCTCTCATGGRGCTATAATCGCACCTCTGAGAGACCATTTCAGCGCTTCAAAAGATCATTGACTAAGTTATGCGCTGTTTCTAGCATAAAAAACCTTAGCCAATCCTTGAGGGAAGCTGATACTTAAGGCAAGAGTCATCTATTGTGAAAGCAAATTTTTTCTGTGCTATTTTAGTTGCTGACTTAATAGCGCATTATATAAGTGCACATYTTAGACTATGACCTTGGCTTCCTGTGCCATGGAATTCAAATGCAGATCAAATAAATAAATAAACCTTATTAGCTAACAATCTATTTCAGTCCTTTCTTAGTCCTGCTTTTTTCTTTGGTTCTACAACCCCTCTGAGAATCATTTCAACTCCTTGGGAGTTGAAATAGCCCCATGCAATTACCCACTTATATTTGGCTCACTTTAGATATGCTTGGCATGTATGTGGTGCTCTAACCTAAAGCCAATAACAATTTACTGCAACTGTTCTGCACCCATGATGCACCATGTACTGATAAAATTAGTTAACAAGCGCATAATTTTTTTAGCCCTTGTTGGTACTAAAATGCTCATAAGGGGCCATATTTAACCTATTTAGGAATTAAAGTCCATTCACTTTGAAACATTTGATCAGCACTGCTCGCGGGTGCAGCAAGATGTCAAACAATGGGGGCAATTAGACGAGTCTCTGGATGGCGAAGATCTTGTTTCCATCTACGAAGATGATGCAGAAACAAGATTTTTCTTTCCCATTTTTAAGGAAAGAACCAAG